GCCAGTCCCCTGTGTCTCAGAGGAAGGGACATCCGACCTTCTTCTCAAGCCTCAGGTCTTCATTTCGCTCTGTGGTCCCATCTTCTTGTCACATACTTGCTTATTTTTCCAGCTCTCTCACTGGCTTTTTTCTTTCAATTATAATCATGACTCAGTCTTCCTCAACCTTCTGTTCCCTGGCCTTGACCTGGAGCTCGCCACCCACTCCTCTTCCTCCTGCCAAGCTTCTTGTGGAAGAAGAACCTCCACAGCCTCTCCCTCTGGACTTTCATTCAGGCGTCAGCTCCCTGTGCTGAGGTTGACGCTCCTGGAAGCCTTTGATGGGTATCTTGCCATGGGCTCAACTAAGCTGCTCAGTGTCAAATCTAATGCTTTTGTTTTTTTCAAAACAAAATTTTCTTTTTTTTTTTGGCGACTGGCTGATATGGGGAACCGAACCCTTGACTTTGGTGTTACAAGGCTGTGCTCTAACCAACTGAGCTAACCGGCCATCCCCTTAAAACAGAATTTTCAATTTTCAATTTTTTAAATGTCATGAAATATTTTAATTACACAAGAGAGGACTGTGTAATAAACACCCATATACCTACTGCTCATTTTCCACAAATGTTACATTTTTGCAATTTTGCTTCATATTATTTTTGAGTTAGAGGTTATGGATATAGTTACAACTGCTCTATCCCCCTCCTCCCTCTCTCCCCTAGCATAGGAAACTGACTTCCTGAGCTTGGCATGTGTCCTTCCCATCCAGGTCTCCATAGTCACACCACTTGTGTAAGTGGCCCTGAATGAGGTAGTGTCTTGTTTTAGGTGCTTTAAAACCTTATGTAAATGGCATCAGATTGTACAGTCCATTCTTCTAGTTGCTTTTATTTCTTTATGTTGTAGATCTGTCCACATTGATCTGTATAGCTCCTGGTCACTCATTTTGACTGTTTTAGAATTGCATTTATATTTATTCCACGATTTATCTGTCCAGTAACTTCTTTTCTTTTTTTTTTATGCTTGATCCATTTATGCCATCAGTTACTGTTAACCATATTTGGGGTTTTTGAAGAAACCTGTACTGGATGCCCACTAGGCACTCAGCATTGCTTTACCCCTGACAGTGTGATGAAAAGATGACCGGACATGTCACTTGATCCTGCTGGAGCTCTGCGTTGGGATCCTCTAATACTTCTCTCTATTGGCTTCTAATAATAATGGTTTTAATAACAATAATAGCCAACATTCATTTGGATCATACTGTGTCCCAGACAATGTTCTAAGCCCTTTATGTATATTAAGTCCTTTCATCCCCACAACAACTCCATGAGATAGGTACTATTATTATCCAGTTTTACAGATGAAGAAACTGAGGCCCAGAGAGGCTAAGTCACTTGCCCAAGATGACTCCACTAGTAGTTGCAGACCATGGATTGAAGCACAGCATTCAAATTCCACAGCCAGAACCTGTAACCCCTGCAGCGCCACCTCTTGAGCTCCACCTGCAGTGTCCTCCCCTGCCTCTTCTCTTACTTCTTGCCTGCACACACCCCGGTCGCCTGTCTCCGTCACTAGCCCCTGGTCCTCTGCCTGCCCCTCAGGCATAGTGTTCTTGGGTCTTCTTTTTCTTCCACCCCAGGGTTCCCTCCATGAGCTCATCTGCTGCTGTGGCCCCAGGGAGAGTCTAGAGTAAGTTAACCCCCGACTGCTGTCTCTTGTCCTGGTTCCTGGAGTTTATGAGTCACTGGCCTTTACTGCCACTGCCCACTGCATGGCTCCACCTGAATGGAGGTCCAGGGAATCAGGCAGAGCTCAAACACGCGGGCACCCAAGCCTACTTATTCTCCACCTACAGTCTTGCTCTTCCTTCCATGTTCTTTGTTTTGGTTATTGGTGGCCTGGCCAAAGACACAAGTCATCTTTGGTTTCAGTGATCATCCTGGGCAGTTGCTCTCAGCTGTCCTTGGCAATGTCTCTCAAACCCACTCTGTCCTTTCTGTCCCCAGCCTCCAGCATTGTGCTTTGTTAACACCTACAGCATCTGCCCAAGAGCTCCTCGCCTGCTCTCTCAGCTTTCAGAACCTCTTTAAGTTTCCAAACTGTCACCCTTACTGAAATCGAGTGTGATCTTGTCACTCTTCTGATTTTAAGCCTCGGTGGCTTCCCATTGTACCTGCAGTGATCACCAGAGGTCTTAGTGGGACACCGAAAACTTTCCCCATTCTGACCTCAGCTTGTCCTTCAGCCTTCTGTTGGGGTCCAGAAAGCGATGCCCCAGAGGGAAGGCCTCAGAAGCAGTCTCAAAAGCAGTTTTCCTCTGACCTTCTGTCCTCCTGTCTCTCAGCTTCATTCTTCCCTGAGGCAAGCCAAGGAAACTAGAATCCCTCTTCACCCAGGCAGGTCATAGATATACTGTGATCTAACCCCTCCCCTCACCTTTCTGAGCTGGACGTAAAGAAATTTTCTGACCTACTTTGTGTGATTGTAGGTCATAAGAAAGGGATCTGCCCCAAACCCTGGATGGATGCTACACAGAGAAGCCAAGAAGAATCTGAACCGACAGGCCTTGCTGGGTTTCCCCACTCACTCTATGAGCATCAGATCATACTTTTCTTGTCCAATCACATTTCTACATGGTTGTGCCTGCTTCATAGAACCTAGGCATAAATATAGACAATGTTCTCTATATCTTTGGCCTTCATTCTGAAGGCTCCCGTGTCATGTAAAACTGTGTGATCAAATAAAATTTGCTATGCCTTTTCTTCATATTAATCTGTTTGTATCAGGTGAATTTTCAGAGAACTTTCAGGGTTTGAAGGAGATGTCTTCCCTTGGCCCCTACACTTCCATTCTGCCACTCCACTCAGGCCTGCATCGTTCCTGTTGTCTGGAACTTGTCACACTTCTCCAGAGTGTGCAGCCTCAGACTTAGTCACTCTGTACCTTTGAACATGCTATTCTCTGAACCTGGAAGGCCCTTCTCCCCTTTCCTTGCTCAGTGGATTAGTTTCCTGGTGCTGCTGTGACAAGTACCACAAACAACAGACATTTATTCTCTTGCCAGAAGTCCAGAATCAAGGTGTTGTTATGGTCATGCTCCCACCAGGGCTCTGGGGGAGAACCCTTTCTTGTCTCCTCCATCTTCTCTTGGTTGTGGCTTCTTTGGCTTGTGGCCACATCACTAGAATCTCTGCCCCTGACTTCACATGGACCCTCCCCTCTTCTGTCAGTGTTTCTCCTCATGTCTTTCTCTTATAAGCACGCTTGTGATTGCATTTAGGGCCCACCTGGATAATCCTGGCTGATTTCAAGATCCTTCACTTAATCTGCAAAGTCTTTTTTTCCAAAGAAGGTCACATTCACACATTATAGGGATTTGACGTGGACATATCTTTTGGGGGACCTCCATTCAACCCACTACCCTTGTTAGACTCCTCGCTGTCTTTTGACATCTGGGTCTGTGTCCACTGCTCAGGTCCTCCCCTCCCTGCTGCCCTCTGGGCATTGGCAGTGCGTCACATGGGAGAGTGTCATGTGGCAAGGCAGCCTGCAGGTTTGTCTCTCTTTGTCTCTGGTCCTGTCATGTTCTCAGCTCCTGACACATGCTGGACACTCAGTCAGAGTGTGACACCTTAGGGTTGTTGTGGATGTTTGCTGCTTCTGTCTGGACCCCGAGTCCTGTCACCCACACCTGGCTAATACTGCTGGGGCCCTACCTTTCTCTCCCGCCGGCAGCCTGCCTGGGCCTCATCCCTCCTGCCTGGACTGTTGGAATAGCTGCCTGGCTGACCTTTCTGCTCTCAGTCTTTCATCGCCTCCAATTGACTTGGAACACCACTGTCAGAATGATCTTTCTACAGTGTAGTTTTCATCTGTCACCTGGTCAGAAGTGTTAGCGTTGTATTGTTTCTGTGGCTTCAGTCTCACAGGCTTGTCCTCTTTTATAACCTGCCATCCACTCATCACCTGTGGCTCTGTCTACACACTGCTGGGTCCTGTTACTGCTCTCCTGCCTTCCCATCACTGTGATGAGTTGCATATTTTGTTGCCTTCTCTATGAATTGGCATTTAATGTGCTTTCATTTCTTCAGACCCCTCTGAGTTCTAGAGCTTGCTTGCTCCATTCAGACTGCAAACAACAAGAGCTGCTTGGCCTTCCTCTTCTGTAGACCGAGGAGGCTTCGTTTTCTGTTGGAGTGTCCCACCTTGTCAGTGGCTCTTCCTGGGCCCCTTCCCTGTGGCGTTCTTTTGGCACCAGACATAAGTCAGGTCTCGGGTGTGGGTGTGCCCGGGTTTACACAGTAGTGGGAGGGTGCAGTGTGTCCTATCCCTGTGCCTGCAGAGGAGGAGGGGCACTAAGTCACCCATTTGTTCAGCAAATCTGAACTGAGCACAGTTCTGTGCTATATGCTGCTGGCTACTGAGGGTGTGCTGAAGACAAAGGACACATCATACGGGCTACCTGCCCTCTGAGTTCACTATCTGCAGCATGGGAGACAGGTGTCAATTATGGAATCACACAGAAAAAAAATACGCATATTTGTATGTACGAGGGTACTTCCAAGATTACAACTGACAGCCATTGTTCATAGAAGGATTTGTGTTATCTTTTAATTCTATTTTTCCACAAACTTTTTGAAGTGATCTTGTCTGTACATATGTATGTATATGCAGAATATATCTAGGATATGAGAGGTGGAGGAAGATCACGGCGGGGGGAATATTGGAATGTGGCTTGGGGACCTGCATGAGTGGGGGTCAGGGAGGAAAGGGGCATTGGGTGGAGACTGGAGGAGTGGACAAGGCAGTTAGGCAGAGGGAGTGGCATATCCAAAGGCCTCAGGAAGGCTGACAGGAGGGTGGCAAGGGCAGGAAGACCTGAGTGGTTCAGACAGCAAATGGCAGGGGAAGGCAGGTGTGGCCGGCTCTCGGCATCCACTAGGGGGTGTGTCCTGATCCCAATAGCACTTCCGCTCATTTTGTGTTTCACCTTTTGCCTTTTCTTCCTCTTTTAGGTTAGAAAATCAAGTCAGGAAGTGCTCTTGATTCTTCTGGAACAAGATCTCATTTTCCAGCATGATATTGAAAACAAAGTGTGTCCAGTTCTGCTGGAGCTGTCTGCCCCAGACAGTGATGAGGAATTCAAAGCAGAAGCCGTGAATGTGAGTCTGTCCAGGGGGTGACACCCCATGCTCATTTGTTGGTGTTGTCCCATAAGCTGGCTTGTGCATGACATGATATGTTGCACGTGTTCGATTTGACTAGCACTGTTCCCATGTGCAAGGTAGCCAGTGACTCGACCTAGGTCTGAGAAAGCTCACAACTCAGCTCTGAGCATGTTTTGGAAATGATTGTTTTTATAGCACTGCTTGTTTTATGAAGTCAAGTCTTCGGGAATCAGTGAATTGGGCATAGCAGAGACAGCTGGCTTAGACTTCTGCTGGGCAAGATGCTGAGATTTATAGGTAAACCCTTGAATCTACATGGGTCATGGGCCTTGTTTCTCAAAGTGAGGAATCTCATATGGTATGTGAGATAATTTTAGGTAGTACTTCTACAATTAAGAAAAACATGTAATAGGTGTGTGTTTCTGTTTTATAGATTAAGAGAAGACTAAAGTAGGCATGTAAGCACATAGGAAGTTCACTGTAAAGAACACAGATGTGGCCAAAATGTTTACAGCACTTTGGGAAATGCTGTGTTAAAGTATTTGTGCTCATATCAGTTAAAGATACACAGTGAAAGGAATAGTATAAGTTCTCAGTGACTTATCCATTTAATGGTTAATATTGTGGTATCCTTGGGTTTGTAAGATTCTGTACCCATTGTTAAATGATTATATAAGCAGGACTTTCTACTCATTTCTGGAGCCCTTGTTCGTAAGCTCGTGGTTGATGAGCCGGTGCTGGCTTTTTCTGCTTGTAGACTGGGACACCCTTGCCCAATCTGTCCTCGTGTGTTTTCCTTTGTGGCTCAAGGAGAAGTCATCATGGGCCATCTTTTTGTTTTTAGCTGCTGCTTCCCCTTTGACCCATGCAAAGCATGCCATGTGGCATGACCCTTTCTGTTTGCATTATAGAAGTCAGGTGCTCCAGGATTATAGAATAATCAGAAGTACTTTAGGAAAAGTTCGTACATAAAGGACTTAAAAAGTCATGAGCCTTAATTGTGAGTATAGTAAAAGATATAGATGTTAGTTGTTTTCTTGCTTGGAACAGAACAACATTAGAAAAAGGAATTCTTCTCTTTCTCAAAGTGCAGAAACATTATATACACCATGGAGCTAAAAAAATTGTATTACAGAGTAAGAACAGTTGGCAATTATTCTTCATTTATGTAAAAGTTTTCTTCATATATGCATTAAAGATCTGGCTTTTTAAACTAATTTAATTTTTTGCATATTCCATATGTTTATAAGATGAATCAGGCTGAAGAATAATTGATTATTAAAATTCAAATTCTCCAGGGTTCTTTTATAACTTTCAAGTTTCTCTATAAGAAATTAAATTTATTTTGCAAAATGAACCTGGCTAATATCATTTAGTTGGGGTATTTGGCAGTTGAGCAGTGAACTTTGCAAATGAGATCTTTTTCATTTGGAAGTTGGTTAGGCGAGTTTCCAAGGTTACGATTGACAACCAAATATCTTATCCCTAAAGACTGCTAATACCATGAAAAATAACACTAAGGGCATTTTTGCATGATTTTTATTTTGTTTTGTTTCCAAACACTCCATTCTTGTCAGCAATATCCTTCTTCTTCTTCTTCTTTTTTTTTTTTTTTTTTTGGTGAAAATATTTGGAAACTGTAGCAAGCCTTCAAGAAGCTATCTGTACAAATCACTTGCAGAACAAATTAGTTCACATGAATTGTATTTTTCATTCAAAGTGAGTTGCTGATATTATTATTTGAATGTATTAGCTTTCAGATGTGGCTACAAGAACAGAAGCAGTGCTGATCCCTCCCACCCCAGCCCTCGAGGCTGAGTGCGTGTCTGTGTCCTCCCCGTGTTTCTGGAGGACCTCTGCTGCTCTTCCCACAGAGCTCCGATGGGGCAGAATGTGGGGTGTCTTGTCTGGCCCATGCATGCTTTGGTCTAATTTCTTTTCCAGATCCTGGAGACCAAGGGACCTTGGAGGGGACTCTCACCCCTTGGTCACTGGAGATCTGTGGGGCACAGACAGAGCTGTCTTCTTAGCTAGGAAATGAAAATGTGAGTGGAGTGTGGGTTTTATATTCAAGGAAGAGAAGGGCAGGGTTCTGATTTAATTGGTCTGTGAATGATGCCCCAAACACTGCGAGAATCAACTTGTATTTGTTAGGAGGTGATTCAGGGAGCTGTTGGCTTGACAGGGGATAGATGGGGAAAGCAGCAGATTGGGCTGGTCCACTGCCCTCTATGTTTTGGGCTGTCTTTGCAGCCATGTGGTGTGAATATTGCTACTGCTGCATGTGCGTAAGCACACCCCACTCAGAACAGTGCCGTTTTTGAGGAATTGCTTCTCACTCCCAAGGAAACTGCACGTCTACGTGGACAAAGTGTACCTCTGTTCAGTAGACTTTTCATTCTCATTGGAAGTTACAATCAATCGATTGTGATGCTGAGAACTCTAGTGCATGCATGATTGGGAAAAACAAAGATAGCCAACTACACATGCCTGGGGCATTTTTAAATCAAGTTATGCGGCACAACTTTCCTGCTGGGACATAGGTACACAGATTCCTGGTTTCTCACACAGGTATGCATTTTCCTTTGTGAAGTCTTTCTAGATACCCAAGGCAACATTAGTGACTTTCACCTTTATGTGTCAGAAGAGTTGGTTCCTATCTGTCTTCTGTCACTTAGCAGTTGTGAAGTTCTGTTTGTTTCTCCCTCAAAATGGTGAGCTTCTTAAACAGAAGACCATATTGTCTTTGCACCATCAGTACCCAGCACAGTTCCAGGCCCAGAGTCTGTGCTAAATAAGTGTTAGTTGTTGGATGAATGAATCGGTAAAAACTGCAAGAGCTGTATCTTGTAATTATATCTAAACAGGATAAACAGACCACTGGAGAGCAATTATAATTCCTGTTGCTTGCAGGGAGGCCATTAGCATTCTGAGATTATAACTAATTGTCAGAAACCTATTTTTCTCTCTCGACACATTTTCACATTGTTTTCCTCATTTTTTGTTGTCGTTCCTATTTTTAAGTTCATTTTTATTTGTGCATTTATTTAGAAAGAATGTTGCAATTATGTACTATAAAGAATGGTTAGCTCCAAGCAACTAAATGAAGATTGTCATTCCGTACAAGTGGTTCTCAGGGCCACAGGAATATAATTTCTTCTCACTTGGGGTGCTGACTTTTAATGATTCTGGATTTGTTTTATACTGTGTAGTAATAAGGGCATGTGGGTGTGGCAAGAGGCAGAGGGGTGGATGGAGATACTGAAAACTCTAGTTACCTGTTAGCCTGGATATGGAAGCCTCATGTCCTCATTTATTGTGGCTGTCACTTTGTGCAACTATGCTAAGCATCAGATCAGAAACATGTGTCCTTGGAGTTCTGGAGCCACAAGCCTTTTCCTTATTTCTGTTATGGGACTAGGTTCCCCTCCCCTCATCCTGGTTGTTTTTCTTTCCCCTCTTGTCCACTTGTGTGCATATTCCAAATAGAATGATAGTTGGATTACTAACTCAGGACCTTTTTCTACTGTAAAATGACAGTGCCATGTTGATAGTGAGAGTAACAGGCTTCAGAGACAGGAAGTCCTCCCTCCCTCCATCTCTTCCTTTCCTCCATGTCTTCCATCCCTCCCTCACCTTCTTCCCTCCATCCCTCTGTCCCTTTCTTCCTTTTTTCTACTTTCCTCCCTTTCTTTTTCTTTTGTTGGGGGAGTGGGAGAGTTCTTTTATTTTACTTTTTGATAACTTTTCATTTTGTTTTAATTTCCAACTTGCAAGAATAGTACTATGAATTCTTTTTTGTATACCCTTTATCCAGCTTCTCTAGTGGTTTCTGTATAGCTCCATTTATTTTATCACATTCTCTCTCCCTTCTGCATACTCGTACATACACACACACAGATATATACAAATGTGTATATATTTTTCTGAGCTGTTTGGAGACATTGTGCCCCTTTATTAAATTCTTCTATGTATATATATCCTAAAAATAGGGAAATCCCTTTTTTATACAACCACAGTATAATGATCAAAATCAGGAAATTTAGCACTGATATAGTGTTAATGTTTCATTCCCAGTTCATATTCAGATGTTGTCATTTGTCCAGGATCCAATTCAGGATTACTCATTGCAATTGAGTTCTCTTTCATATCTCTTTGGTTTCTCTTAATCTGAAATAGTTCCTGAGTCTTTCTTTCAATTTTGTAACATTAACATGTTGGAAGAGTCCAGGCTAGTTCTTTTGTAGAAGGTCTCCCGGTTTCGCTTCGTTAGATGTTTCATCATATTGGATTAGGACTCTTTCTTTCTGGCAGAAATATATATAGAAGTGATATGATCTCAGTGTGCCATGGCAGGAGGTGCAAGACTTTAGTTGTCCTAGTAATGGTGATGTTAACTTTGACGACTTAGTCAATAGAGGTGGTATCTGCCAAGTCTCTCCAGTGTACTTTTTTTTTTCCTCTGAAGGTAATAAGGAGAATTACCTTGAGACTGTGTAAGTATGCTCTTCATCAAACTTTCACCCACTAGTATTAGTGTCTGTTGAGGATTCTAGTTGGCGTTCTACAGTGAAGAATGTTCCATCTCCATGATTTGCTAACCTTTTGTTGACAATTTTCACATTTGTGTTCAAGAGGACTATTGTTGGCAATTTTCTTTTCCTATTATGTCTCTGTCAGGTTTTAGAATTGGGGTTATTTTGGCCTCAGAAAATGAGTTGGGAAGTACTCCCTTCTCTTCTATATTCTGAAAGATTTTGTTTAAGATTGGAGTTATTTTTTTCCTTAAATATTTGTTAGAATTCACCAATAGAACCTCTAGTCCTAGTTTTCTATGTGAGATGGTTTTTTATAACAGATTCAATTTAGATATAGGGCTGTTCAGATTTATTATTTCATGTGTCATTGGATAAGTTGTGTATTTTAGGGAATTTATTAATTTCATGTGAGTTGTCAGATTTATTGGTTTAGAGTTGTTCACAATATTCCCTTATTATCCTTTTAATATCTGTAAGATCTGTAGTGTTATCCTCTTTTGTTTATGATATTGGTGTTTGAGGGTTTTTTTTTGTTTGTTTGTTTTGTTTTTTACTTAATTCTTGATAGGGGTTTATGAGTTTTATTAATGTTCAAACTAAGTTTTGGCTCTGTGGATTTTCTTTATTGCTTGTTTTCTTTTTTTATTGATTTCTACTATTAATTATTTCTTACCTTCTACTTTCCTGAGTTCAATTGCTTGTATTTTTCTAACTTCTTAAAGGGGAAACTTCATATTTTGAAGCCTAACTCTTTCATAGTAAGCATTTAAAGCTACACATTTAATGTTTATGTCTTTGTGATGTATTGACCCTTTTATCATTAAAAAATGACTTTGGTAGTAATTTATATCTTGTAGTCTACTGTGATTTTAATATAAACACTTCAGCATTCTCATGCCTACTGTTTATTATAGTATATTTGCTTTTACTATCAACCTAATTGTCTTTACATTTAAAGTGTTTCTGTTTTTGTTGGAATATAGTTAGGTCTTGCTTTTATATCTAGTCTGATAGTTTCTGGATTTTAATTGGAGTTTTTAGTCCATTTATATTTAATGTAATTATTAGTATGTTTGGATCTGTTTTTGCCATTTCTTTATTTGTTTTCCTTTTTGTCTCATTTGTTTTTGTTTCTCTGTTCATTGTTTTCAGTTTTCTTTTGGGCTAATTGAATATTCCTTAGCATTGCATTTTAATTCCTCTATTGAGGATTTTCAAAAAATATAGCTAGCACCTTACAACTGTGTAGTTCCACTTACTTGCTTTCATCCTTTGTGCTATTTTTTTTTTATATATTATATTAATATTTCATACATTATGAACCTGAAAGTACAGTATTGTAATTTTTGATTTAAAGAATTATATCTTTTGAAGAAGCTAATAAATGAGAAAAAAAATAGCCTTTTATACCCCCATTTTTGCCATTTTTGATGATCATCTTTTCTTTCTTTAGATCTGAATTATCAAATCTAGTATCTTTTCCCTTCAGCCTGAATAACTTCCTTTACTACGTTTTTTAGTATCAGGTTGGCTGTTGATGAAGTCTCTTAGTTTTTGTTTAGCTGAAAATGTCTTTATTTTGCCTTCATTTTTTATTTATTTATTTATTTATTTTTGTCTTTTTCCGTGTCCGGAAATGGATCACAACCCTCAGTGTCGCCCCCGTACCGGACCGGGACCAGCAACAGGATCGCAACCCTCGGTGTTGCTCCCGTGCCTCGCTCAGCCAGTGAGCGGGAACCGGTCTGTATGTGGGATCCGAACCGTCGGTGGGAGCGCCGCCGTGCTTCCCAAGCGGCGCACTATAGCAGTGAGCCACCGGGCCGGCCCTGCCTTCATTTTTTAATGATAGTTTTGTTGGATATAGTTTTGTTGGGGGTTGACAGGTTTTTGTGTTTTTTTCTTTTAAAACACTTTAAAGATGTCATTTTGTTATCTTCTGGCTTCCTTAGTTTCTCATGAGAAGTGAACTGTCATTCATGTTGTACTACTGCTATATATAAAGTATCTTTTTTTCTCTCACTGCTCTTGAGATTTTTCTCTTTGTCTTTGGATTTTCGCAGAATGAGTGTTTATCCTGTCTTGTGTTCATTGAATTTCTTGGATTTGTGTATTGATGCCATTCACCTAATTTAGGAAGTTTTTGGCTATTGTTCCTTATTTTTTTTCCTGTGCAATTGTTTCTTTGTCCTTTTAGTCTGGGACTTAGATTACACAAAGTTGGGACCCTTGATATTGTCCTACAGATCTTTGAAGTTCTGTTTTCTTCAATCATTTTTTCTGTCTAATGTTCAGATTTGATAATTTTTGTTAATCTTTCTTAAGTTCAGTGGCTCTTTCTGTCATCTCCAATCTGTTAGGCCTATCCAGTAAGTTTTTTATTCCACTTATTATACTTTTCAGCTCTAGAATTTTCATTTTGATCTTTTATAGAATCTTTACAGTTTTTATATCTCTATGATAGAGTCCCTATCTGTCCTTCTCTATGCATATGTTTTCCTTTTAATCCTTAAATATATTTATAACAACTCTTTTAAAGTCCTTATGTGGTAGTTGCAACATTTAGATCATCTTGGTGTTGATTTCCATTGACTACTTGCATTATGGGTCACTTTTCCTTTTAATACATGAGTAGTGATTTTTGATCAGACACTGGACATCATCAAATGATACATTGCAGAGACTTTGGACTCTGTTGTATTTCTCTAAAGTGATTTTTGTCCTAGCAGGCAGTTACCTTGATTGACATCCAACTCCAAACTGTTTCCCTTTTGGTGAGCAGCAGCTGAAATCTCTGCTCAGTTTAGTTTATGTCTGTTGCTTCTTTGTTAGGTCCTCTAGGATCTCTCCCCTAGCCCTACTCCCACCCCTGTAAGTAGTTTAGTAGTTGGCTAAAGTTTTAAGCAGATCTTATACACAGATTTTGGACCTTATTTGCAAATCTCTCCTATTGCAGTTCGTCTTTTAAAGGTAGCTTGTCCTCTAGTTTCCATTTTTTGGTTGCTGTCCACTGCTTCCAAATGGTTATTTTTTATGTTTTGTCAAGATTCTATAATTGTTATCTGTAGGAGGGTTAGTCCAGTTAAGCTACTTTGCTGTTACCAGAAGTCTTGGTTCTTTTTTGTGGTTTCCCTTTCTTTGATGAGATTCCCAATCTGTTTATTCATTACGACCCTATTTTCATTTTAGTCCTTTGGCACATTTATAATAGCTGCTTTAGATTCCTTTTATTTTTTTTTATTTTTTTATTTTTATTTTTTTTCCCTTTTTGTCTTTTTTCGTGTCCGGCAACGGATCGCAACCCTCAGTGTCACGCCCGTACCGGACCGGGACTGGCAACGGGATCGCAACCCTCGGTGTTGCTCCCGCACCTCACTCAGCCAGTGAGTGGGAACCGGTCTGTATGTGGGATCCGAACCCTCGGCGGGAGCGCCACCGCACTCCCAAGCGGCGCACTGTAGCAGTGCGCCACCGGGCCGGCCCTTTTTTTTTTTTTTAGATTCCTTTTAAAGTCTACTAATTCTATCTGGATTTTCTGTGGGTTTGTTTCTCTTGACTGATATTTTTCTTGGATAAGGGTCATGTTTTTCTATTTCTTATGTCTAGAGATTTTTTGTTTTCTATTGTATCTTCTTGATGTAATGTTGCAGATACTCTAGATTCTGTTATTTTCCTCTGTAGAGTGTTGACTTTGTTCTAGGAAGCAATTCAGATTGTTTCCCTACAGTAAACAGCAGCTGAAACTACTCAGTTCTCTCAGCCTTAGGTTACTGCTGTTCTCTGTGAACTGCACAGTCTCACCTGTGCATGCACAGTTCAGAGATCAGCCAAGGATTAGGGTAGGATTTAATTACAGATTTTAGCATGCCCATTCCTTTGGCTCTCTTTTTTCTTCCTTCCCAGGATTTTCACTCTCACTTTCCAGCTCCCCTGGCAGCCTCAATCTCTGTTCTCCGATTTCTCAAGCCAGTGAAACTGTAGCTTTTGCTTGAGGTCTAGCTGCCCTGCATAGCCAGGCAGATGGGAAGTGCCCTCAGGCAAAAAGCAGCATAAATGCAAATTCTACCCAGTATGGTTTTCTTCATTCAAGGGTCTGCTCTTTAATTCTGCCAGTGTTCAATCATTCCCTGGTGCCTACCAGTCATTTTTTTATACTGTATCCCACTATTACTGTATGTACCACCTCACCACTGTCTGTTTTTAGTTAGTTACATTACTTAACCTCTTTCACCATTAGTTTCCTCATCTGAAAAAAAAGGGATAATTAATTCCCATATCATACGGTTCTGGGGAAGGTAAAATGAACCAGTGCATATAAATTGTTTCTCTATTGGGTGCTCGTTGACATCTGGCAAATGCTAGCTCTTAAGTTTCAGACAAATACCAATTTGAGTAAAACTAGAGAAATATTTGGCCTTCTATTGATCATTTTTTAACTGACAAAACTCAAAAGAAAGTGTTCTCTATTTTTCCTTCTTGGACATTTTGGCAATATTTTAGATATTTGCTTTTGGAATATATCTTGTTAGTGATGCATCTGACTTACACACTTTGGTATTTCAAGTGACTCTGATGTTCTTGTTATTTATAGGTAATTTGCAGAATGGCTTCAATGCTGAGTAAGAGCACAGTTGAACACCTGCTGCTCCCTCGATTCTGTGAACTGTGTGGTGATGAGAAGCTCTTTCAAGTTCGAAAGGTGGCATCCTAGGAGTTTTAAAACTCTTTAAGTTAAAAAATTGGAATTAGATTCCTCTGAAGTTTCTGGACTTCTTCAGTAGACACAGTCTGGAGGGAAAATGTGTCCAACATGAACTGTGTAAAGAAAATATCTGAACAGTGTTGCCAGTTTTTACTGCAATTATGAAATGGATAGAAGCCTGGAGATGAGATTCTATATGAGTAAACCGGTTGCTCTTAGGACAAGAGTTATGGGACCTTGCTGACTTGTGGTTAGATGTGGTTACTCAGACATGCAAGGTCTTTGATTATCTGGGGTCATTTGTTCCAGAACCCTTTTATCTTTGCTATACCTTCCAACCCCAATCCCAGGTTCGTGTTTAATTGCTTGTCACTTTGTTGTCAAATTCTTCCCTTTTGAAGGGTGTTGCCATCCCCCCAGACAGCCTTATCCCCCACCTTGCTGCATAACTGGTCGTCACTCCTTGGCCTCTCCCCCTTGGCAAGACAGTGGGTCTCATGTACTGAGCAGAGAATGTTAAGGGTCTCTTCTGTCCTGTTGCTAACCAAATGCATTATGTATCAAGATCAATTAGGAGCCTAGAATTTGGTTCCTTATTGTAAATCCTCTGTTTTCAATGCAGTAGAGGCACCTAGTATGGTGCTGTGTGGGCGATGGGCTTGGTTAGGGCTTGTTAGCTGCCTGACTAGAGAGGATAATTACTCTCAAGCTTCCTGCTTGTTAGTTTTTACAGTTTGTTAAGACAAAAAGAAAGATGAGAATAATGGATATGCCTTTTGCCTTTTTAAGGTGTGTGCGAAAAATTTTGGTGATATTTGTCATGCTGTGGGACAAGAAGCCACTGAGAAATTTCTGGTATGTGAAATTTTGCCAATTGTAATTGCCGATTTACTTCTTAGCACCCTTTCAAATAAGTTGTAAAATTTTATATTTATGAGTCTGTTACTTTGGAATGGCAGCTCAGTTTTAAATTCATTAATTTCAGATTTCTTGAATTCTGCAACATTTATTTTGTTTTTTGGTGGCCGGCTGGTATGGGGATCCGAACTCATGACCTTGATGTTATAAGTCTGTGCTCTAACCACCCTGAACTAACCTATCAGCTCCCAGATTTCTTGAATTCTGATTAACGTTTTTCCTTAAGTGTTGGCAGCTGGACTGTGGAATGGGATGGAAGCAACCCTAGTCCTCTTTCCCGTGGGCTTTGCTGTCACCTCCTCACAGGTCATTTCTCCCAGTTTCTTCTCACTGTCTGAGCCACTCTGTCGCCTCTCCACTGCCCCCTCTAGAACACTGCTCCACCACCTTACTCTTGGGCCTCAAAACCATTGAGATTTTTTTTTCTTGGTTTACAGGTTAAAATCTAGAGCCTTATTGGCATTTCAGGTCTCTTCACAAATACCTTTCCTGCTCACCTCCAGTCCTCTTTCTCAGTTCTGAACAGGATCCTGGCCTAGGTGAATCTCACCTCAGGCCACACATCTGAATCCTGGGGAAGGTCAGAGGAAGGGGGAGGCCCAGGCTTTTGTATTTTTGATAAATTCCCAGTGATTTTGATGCACAACAGGGTACAGAACCACTTCACTGGCTAGCCAGGTGACTTTTCAGCTCCCTGGAGGCTTCCTGTTCTTTTACACCTATGAGTCATTACTGCCTCTCTCCCCTAAGTGTCTTCCCTACCTGGTAGGACTCTACTTACTCTTCAAATCCAGCTTGAGTGTGCCTCTGTGAAGTTCTTTCCTGGTCCAGACTCGCCCACCCACTGTGCTGGAGAGAATCCATTTCTCTCTGTTCTGCATCCTGTAGTGTTTTGCTTAGAGTACCTCACTCTTGGTTTGCTCATGGGGATCTGGGGATGGCAGGGACCACGTCATGTTTGTCTTTGTTTCCCCAGTGCCCACCTTGGACCTGGCACTTGGAGAACTGTGCTCAATAAGCATTTTGTCAATAAGATATTGACAGAATACTACTGTATCGTTGGAATTTAACCTCAAAAAGCATAATCTTGGAATTGATTTTTAAATTTAAGTGCAGAAGCTCATTTTATTTTATTTCAAGTAAAAGCCATGTCAACACAGTTCCAACCCAAGAATAATTTTTAATAGGCTGTTGCTTTGAATATACAGTGAGTGTTATCTTCTACTTAGTGTACCTGAATGAAGAATAGCAGTGACCAGTGTGCTGATCTTTCTGTAGGTGCACATTTCCATGGTCATATTACATTCCCATTTGCGAAGCATTTTAGGCTAATTATTTTTACATTAGGATATTAAATGAAAGCCTTTTTAAAGGATAAATTTTAAAAGAGGATATAATTATAACCTTTATACAGATATAGAATGAACATGTGTCAAAGATTGTACTGAACTCATTTATTAATAAAACAAACCAGTAAGATATTACAAGCAATTTAATGGAGAACTCAGAGTACTGCACATTTGTAGTCAGACCAAGGAGTACTGAAGTGATGTACTAATCTTACAAATAGATTCAAAACCAGTCAGTATCCAGGGTGATAATCCATTGCATTCTACTGGACACAATTTGCATTTCTGTGGACAGGAATTATTTGCATTACTGTCAGTTTTTAATAACTTGCCTTCTATCACTAGAGTTGTAAAGCACCCTATTCAAGGACAGTGAAACCTGGATGGGTGAGCTAGTTGGGACATTCACTAAGTTTAAAGTCTTTCACAGTCTTTCTCTATAATTCACATAAGGAATATCAGTCATTCTGCCTTTTTGGGGGATTTTTTCTATTATCTTGTTATATTTAACCAAGTCATTTACTAAAATTAGGAATGAAGGACATGTTTCTTTCTTCTACTTATCATAATTTCTATTTGTTTCAAATGATTTTTTTTAGACCAGTGTATGTTTCTCTTTGATATTAATTTCTGGATATGCCTTCACTACGTCATTAAAACGGGTTCTGCCCTTCCTCGGGGTAATCAAATTTGAGTAGCACTATTTACTTGTTTTGGTAGATCCCAAAGTTTTTTGAGCTCTGCTCAGATAATGTTTGGGGGATGCGAAAAGCCTGTGCAGAATGCTTCATGGCCGTGTCATACACCACCTCCCCTGAGGTCCGCAGGACCACACTGTCGCCTCTCTTCATCAGACTCATCAGCGATCCCTGTCGATGGGTGAGTGATGGCAGCCCTGGACTCCATGGGTCAAGCTGTCTAGCTGTGTCCAGCTCCCAGGCCTCATCTTGGCTCTTGGACTTGTGTCTCTGTATTTTGTCCTTTCAGTGACTAGATTTAGATCTTGTGTAGACCTCGCAAGGTCTAAATTAGGGCAACTGAAGTCTCAAAAGCTTTGGGGTGACTAGTAAGAAAGTGGCACACACCTTAACATATGGAGCAGATGAATATCACAGCAATCAGAATTATGAAGGGAAGGCATTAACTAAATGATTACCTTTTCTGTTACTGTCATAAACATGCCTGTAATGATTCATAAGGTCTGTGTAAATACTTAAAAAAAAAAATCTGGTATTATTTGATGTGGAATTAATATTCGGGAAGAATAAAACCTATATAACAGAGCTAAATTTTTCTTCATTTTCTATTGCAAAATAGTTTATTTGGAATTTAGGGAATGATTTAGAAAGCAATAAATCTGCATAGACGTCATTTGGAGGTCAGTGGCTTGTCTGGTGACCAGCTGTCTGTTTCAGCCTGGGATGAGATGTGACCACTGCTGTGGTCTGCTGCTGTGTTTACCATGCTGTTCTCTCTGGTTCCAGGTGCGCCAGGCTGCCTTCCAATCCCTTGGCCCCTTCATCTCCACCTTTGCAAGTCCTGCCAGGGCTGGCCTTTATGTTTGCGAGGACGGCACCCTGAGCACCCGACCACAGACCCAGGATTTGGACACTGATTTTGCCTCCCGCTTACCCAGTCCTGAAAGTTGTGTTCATACTTCCTCAGCCAGGTACGCCCTGACCAGGATCGTCACCAAGACCCACACTTCACCTCAAGCATCCACCTAAGATTCTAGCAATTATCTTGTCTTGAGTTTTAGTAACAGTGACCTTCTGGGTAAGATGGAATATTAGAGCTTTAATTATGTAAAGAAGCAAAAAGTAATTGCAATAATGATTTTTAAGTGTGAGTACTGGGTTATAAATAATGAAGCTACTGTGTCTCCTAAATTTAGATAAAATATTCATTGAGAGTAGTGATTAAATAAACTATAAAAAATTTTTCTCTTTTTTGATTAATGAAGTTCTTTGGATAATTTACATAGGGAAAAATGTGAAGTCTCCCAAATGTACATTTGTGATGTAGGATGTTATATGCATATAAAGGTGACATCTCTGACTACCATTGGTAGGCCCTACATGTTTTTCTCATATGGCGATTAATCTTTCCTCTGAAGAGGGAAGTTGTGTACTAACTAGACTATTTGGGTCATTTATAAGCATCTCTCCATTGTTCATATTATGCAGGACGGTGACAGTGGGTAATTGACACCTCAGATAATACAGATCCCTTTTAAGATGGATGTGTCTTTCCCTCCATCCTTCCCCCATGAAAGTTCATCGAGTGCCTGCTGTATGTCAGGCTGGTGTGCACTGTCTTCCTCATCAAGATGTTCACAGTGGTTGACAGTAGCTAGCTCTCACAGGTGCAGAGCTTTTATTTTCCACTGCCTGCCCCCTGGTGGAGGCACCAGTGAGCAGGAAGTGGATGAATGAATGGAATCTTGCCACTGAAGGTGCTGCAGCAGAAGCCAGGGGAATTCTCCCCATGAATTCCGTGGAGGGTTGGCTGAGCTTTCATGTGGTATTTTCATTGCACATCATACCTTCATGGGGCCAAGGGAGCTGACTGCACCTCTTATCTTCTTGTGAGGATTTAATCTTCTGACAGTAGAGACACTAGGAGGCTGGCTGGCTGGCTGGCTGGAGGAGGACCAGGCTTGGGAGGATGCGGGTCTCTTCTTTTTTCATGGCCCTTCCGGTCTATTACATGGTGCTAAAAGATTGCTTCCTTCCATTTAACCTAGTTCAACAAAGCCTGTGCGGATAGAGCCAGATCTACCCATGGAAGGGATATCAACGGAAACCAGTGATTTTATGCATGTCGGTAGCTCCTCTACTGGCCTAATAGAAAACCCAATGGAAAACTCTGCCTCGGCTGGAGCTGAGTTGACCAGGCTTTCCCCAGAAGCCAGTCCCTTCTCGAAGCTCCTAGATATTAATGATCTCCCCATCAACAGCCACCCTGGACCAGATTCCTGTGCCTGCCCAGGGAATTCGAAGGATGTGTTCAATAATTTCCTTTATTGGAGGACTCCTCTCCCTGACATAAGCAGGGACTTAGAGTTGTTTCTGAGCAAGGCTGGGCTGCGGGAAGAAGGCTGCAGCAGACCCGAGACTAACAGCTGTGTGGCCAGCAGTGAGATCCAAAAAGTCCTTGATAGTTTGCAGGAGCACATGATGAATGATCCAGATGTTCAAGGTAAATGTCCATAGTAATTAAAGAGAAAATGGGATATTTCTGTGTTGTGTGGCATGCTGACACTTGCTTCTTCCTTGGGCCTGTGCACTGATACAGACGCGTGTATCTGTTATTTATTCACACTGTGCACACAGTGAGAGGAGAGGCTCACTCAGCCTCACCACAGCCAGAGCACTAGAGATGTTTCTGGGCAGGTACCTGTGTGTGGATTTTGCCTCCTTGTTTTGCAGACAGACACGCACACAGTCTGAAGTCAATTCTAATAGAAAAGTGGACAGTTCTGGGGTAGTACAAATTTTATTAGCTCCTTGGACACTGTTACATCATTTCCCACGTTTAATGCCCTTTCTGGTTATGAACAGCTAAGGATGGTCCTCCTTTTGGAGCCTATTAGCTCAGCCTGTAGCAAAACTTGAAGATTTTTGTCTTTGTACAGCAAGGAAAAGTACAACTTCTTCTTTGGGGTATTTTTCATTTTATGACTAGTACTCCCACTGAGCGTCTGATCTGGGAGCTAGACCTTGCGATCCATATCCATTATCATGACTCTTCTTTCTCTAAACAGAGCTATATTTGTATTCTTCCTTGTTTTGGAGAAATTGGAAAAACAACACTTGCTGCTGTTGCTGAGCAAAGATTTGTGAGGCTTTCGGGAAGGAAAATGTGAAAATCCAGTTAGCCCTCTGATTATTCTTTGTCCTTAAATTTATGAAGGAAATTAAATCAATGTTTGCTGAAGGAATGAACACACATAACATATCACTTCTAATAGCTATAGACAAAGGTCTGTTTTTGGAAAACACATTACTGAAGATACCTTAATCCCCACTGCTAGGACCTGGGCTGGAGGCCTGCGCAGCGATGGCTGGCACGTGAGGCCCTTGTGGTCTGTTTGAGGGGACTGTGGAGGCAGAGACCATGAAGGGCGTGGAGAGGGCTGGGAGAGGAGGAGACATGATGTGCTGTGTAACACAGCACAGGAAGCCAGTCATTCCTGGGGACAGAGGAGACATCTGGTAGAAGACCTAGCAGAGCAGTTGACATTTGAGTGAGGCTTTAGAGGACAGCTGGGAACCCATCATCCAGAAAAGTTGGGGGATTTCTTTCTGATGGCTCTTACAGTCCCTGAAGTCATTGTAAAATCTTGCATGTATATGCATACTTAATTTTTTTTGTAAGAAAGAACTTACAGCTTCTTTCAGACCTCAAAGGGATCTTTGAGCCCAAAAGATTTGGAAATACATGACACATGTTTGGGAACTGGCTGTGGCAGCTTAGGCCATGGGGAAGGAGCTGGAGTGCAGCACTGAGGAGGTGGGGCTGCCCTGGGCATGGTTGAGAGCCAGCCCCATGCTCTAAACGTGTTACTGACTCTAGAGCTCTATTTTATTTAATTAGGAGAAAGCAAAATGAAGAAAGGTGTGTGTGTGTGTGTGTGTGTGTTGGGAGGTTGGGGACATGGAAACACCCAGATTATTTTTAAAGAAAGATATTTGAAATATGTAATCTTTACTGTTAGGAGGGTATCATGCAGTCATGAAAGAATGGGTAGCCCCCTTGGGTCTTGGTAAGTGAGATTATTACTCATCTGTATGTAAATGGATTTATTCATGTACAGCATGTATGTGTGTACGTGGGGGCAGAGAAGGTAGCCATCCTGTTTTATAAGCGGGGGAGCAGGACACCCCTCACAACTCAGTGGACCTCCCAGACAGTCATTGTTCAGTAACATTGTGTTGTCTTTCTGTGAAGGATGGGGGACTCAAACTCTGAATTTTCCCCAACTGAGGCTTTTTGAGTTTGGCTTTGACATTCTGTGCGTGGCTGACATTTAGTTGAAACAGTTACCATTAATGGCCATAAGTATCACCACCTTGCTGAGAGCTTGTTTTGAGCCTCCAGAGCATGGTTGCTGTGCAGTCTTCACGGTAGGAGCAGATAGGTGGAACGTGTGAGTTTGTGTAGAGTGCCCACGCCACGATGTTGTTTTGAAGACTTCTCTAAAGTAAACCCCCACAGACCAAATAAAGTTATTAAAATTCTTGGAACTTTTCTTCCTGCAGCTCAAGTTCAGGTATTATCAGCTGCACTGAGAGCTGCACAGCTTGACTCTGTGAATGAACCTGAGAGCAAGGTGTCAGAAGGTCTGGATGAAGTGTCCATTTCAGACCCTGGCTCTGCCTCTGACAGTCAGATGACCCTGTCGGCCTCATCATCTCCGGATGAGCTCTCCGTGGCCAGGGCATCACCACGCTCAGTAAGTAGTGTCCCTCTCCCTCAGCTGCTGAGGATGTGACAGAAATCACAAAGCTGCGTTTTCTTTTATTAATATATCCCAGCAGAGATGATAAATGGCAAATTTCATTTTATTCTTAAGGTCATGTTTTGGATAACTAGACAGCCAATCAATCAGATGATTGATAACGCTGATTCTCTTCCACAAAAACAGGGTGGAGACCAAACGTGCCTTCCCCCTTCTCTGAAGACAACAAGAACTGGTTCTTTGTGGGAGGGGGGATTAACCATCTAAACACTGTGTCACTGTTAACAGACATTTGCATCTTTTAATGATAGTGGAGGGTGAATTCATGCCTTTCCTGGAATTTACAGTTGACTGAGGCCTTAGAGAATGATCACCACATCTAGCCCCTCATTTTGTAGGAGCTCCTTAGTACGTGGTTACTTCCAGTTGCAAAAGAAGGAAAAGGAAAACAAAAAACTCAAAAAGATTGAACAATGAAGAAAATGTTCTTTTGCTCAAGGTGACAGGATGAAGTGCTGTGGTTGGGGGTCCCCAGGATTGGTGAACCCCACCCCTGGACATCGACAGTCCCACCTTCCCATTGAGCCACTGTGGCTCGTATCAGCATGCAGCGCCCAGTGGAAGGAGGTGCCATGACTCCCACTTGTCTTGAGGAGCAAGACAGCCCTATGCCATGACGCCCTCCCTGCCCTCTCCCCAGGGCCTCACCAGCCACAGTTGCATCATGGTGTAGCATGGCGCACTGGGTAGGAAACACGTGAACTACCTGCACAGAGTCAGGATTCTGCCGGGAAGAGGTGCAGGGTGGCAAGCGGTGGCTGTGTAGGTGGCCATAGCCTGCTGCCCACTGGGTGTTTTCTAGGGAAGTGAACTCACAGTAGCTTTGGGGTTGCCTGGACTCGTGGTGGTTTGCTTAAGCCTTGACTGGGCTCCTAGAGTAAGTGCTGTGCATAATGATTGCACTGAAGGCTCTGGAATAAACTTCTGAAAAGATAATAATGATCCCAGTGGCACATCTTATTAGTATATGTGAATTTATTAACTTGGAGAAATTGAGGTCTTAGGTTATCACACCAAAATATTTCTGATTTATCATGTCCTCTGTTAAACAGCACACTAAAAGTGAAAACCTGGGGAGCTGAAGGCTCTGGTAGCGTGCCTCAGAGCTAACGAAGCATCTATTGGTGTATTAATCGACTTTCCTGGATCATATATTGAGCTGATTTGTCAGAATCCATTAAGCTGGTAGACAGTATGACATTTCAAGTGCAAGTTGGAAATCCATGTTATGGTTGAAGGAGAAGGTCAGGTCCATCTCAGTTAATGTTAATCAATGATCAGAGACCAATATGTCACTGTTGAATGTTCTTGCCCATTTTAATTGTTAACCTAATGTAAAGGTTCATCAGCGAACATTAGGAGTGTTTGTACAGGTGAAAATTGAAAAGTTTTCTGAGTAAATACTCCTTTATCAGCCATACCCTTTCACTCAGATTCGCGTTTCTCTCAGCCCCATCCTCTCTCTGAGGTCCCCAGTGCTGCAGTTGCTGAGTCCTGAGAAGCGCTGCAGGTGCTCCCACTACCAGCTCCTTAAACATGGGAATGTCACTTGAGGGCATTGGTTAGGCACACTAGAGAGACCAGGGCTTAAGGAGTAGTGGATGCAGACTAATGTCGTAGTTGGTCCTCACCAACTTTAACTTTAGCCTTTTGTCTTTCTGTAAGGATCTCAAGCAGTCTTGAAATTAAAATGTAGGAAATCTACTTCCCTTAGCACTTAAAATGACTAGTCGATACAATATCATACATAACTATGCAAATGTAGGTTTAACATTTGGAGAGATACCATTGACTTCAAGGGAAGTTGTTGTCCTGGTTTACAGCAGTCATTTGTGGTGCTCAAAGAGGATTCTTTGAAGGCGGAGCGATGGGACAGCTTCCTCCTTTGGACTAAATTAGTAACATGTCCAATCAACTCTGCAGGATCTAGCTGAACCCCGAAATGGAACCAGTGACCATCTGGAGACTGAGCAGAGACATGACTGCACCCCACTTGAGGAGAATGAATCTAAGTTACAGGTTTGTTCCTTGAAAAAAAAAAAAGCAACTCAAAACTTTATATTTTCTGAAGGTTAAGTTTAAGAATAGCCATTGGAAACAAGTATTTTTCTTCTGTCAATATTAATTTCATATCTTAGTTCATAATCTATGTTGGTAATATTGCCTATGTAACTTAAAAAATAAATTCTAAAGTAGTTTCTTAAACACTACTTTGTCTTCTGAACCATCTAGAATAGTACTTTAATAAAGCAAACCAATACGAGAAAAAAATTTTGACACCTGACATTAATATTTGGTGTCTATTTATATAAGAGGTTTTGCTTTTTTTTACTGTCCAGAAAGCTTTTGAGAGCTTCTTTTGTTGAACCATGTTTGATTTTATTATGTCTTGTGGATTGGCTTCTTGTGCCATGTAAGTTCCCTTAAATGTTTTAAATTATTGTGACCCATGGCTCTTACAAGGATAATGGGGTGATGTCTTAGGCAGGCAGTATCCCATCAGTTGGGAAAGGTAAGAATGATTCAGTGTGTGTGGTCTCAGGCCCTAGGTTTTTTGGGCAGTTGTAAGAAAGTCTTCATTTTCAAGAGCTGGGTATACCAGACTAAGCAGACATTGCTGTCTAGACTGCTCTCTGTGAAATCAAATGTTACAGTAATCTAAAAAAGATGAGTTGTGGACACTACTTTAGCCTTAGTCTAAATTGAAAACCTCACTCCCTGGAGAAAACAAGGTCACCAATCTGAAGCCCTTTGGCTTTAGGAAGGCCTCTTGTTCATCTCAAATTTCTGCTTTGTTGTTTTTACCTCTAAATTGCAAACTCCCTGTTTCTCATGAGTATTTGCCTATCTTTGACCTTCTCTCCTGCAACCCTGATGGTTTCCTTTCTCTCCTGTTTCCCAGGATATAATACCTCAGCCTCTGCTAGATCAGTATGTGTCAATGACTGACCCAGCTCGAGCCCAGACTGTTGATACTGACATAGCCAGACACTGTGCCTACAGCCTCCCGGGAGTGGTGCTGACCCTGGGCCGGCAGAATTGGCACTGCCTGAAAGATACTTATGAAACGCTGGCTTCTGATGTCCAGGTAAAAGTAGGCTTTTCAGAGGCATGCACAGAAATAAGGTGGGTCATCTAATTAAGAAGCAAAGGGAAGCTGCAGCAAGGCTCACTGGTCTAAATTTATGTGGATGCAAATTGGTATATTTACTGGTCTCTGATGAAACAAAGCTTTAAGTGGCCAATACCTGACAGCATTCATCTTGCCATGTAAGATGTTGAGAACATTGAATCATACTAACCTGTTGTGATGTGTGTTTGCTGTGTGCCCCTAGTGGAAGGTACGTCGGACCCTGGCCTTCTCTATTCACGAGCTGGCTGTGATTCTTGGGGATCAGTTAACAGCAGCCGACCTGGTGCCCATCTTCAATGGATTTTTAAAGGATCTGGATGAAGTACGCATAGGAGTTCTTAAACACCTGTATGATTTTCTAAAGGTAGGGAGAAGGGTTAAAAATAAAAACTCAAAACTCAATTTTGTTAAGCACTGGGTATGCACAGAATCAGTGAAAAAAACAATGCAGTTGTCTAGGTTTCTTCATTTGAAATGTACCATCCAGAATCTTACAGTGTGTGTCTTTCTGTGATGGGTAAATATTTCGTATCTTTCTTCCTAATCTTCCTGCTCTTTGGAGTTGTAATTCTGTGGAGGATGGTAGCCACATAGCCCAGCACACTCTGTGCAGCAGAAGAAACTGGAGCCCTGGTAGGGAGCTGACTTGTCACTCAGGGGAAGAACCTGGCTGAAATCCAAACTCAGTTCTGCATGGAGGGCTGTTTCTGCAAGACGTCTCTGCTTCCTTCTTGGTTTTTTTTTCCCCCCTAAAGGAATGATGAGTATAAAAATAAGAGTTTAAAAATGACCTAGAGAAACTAATTGTTCACATCCACATGACCAAGAGCTGCCCAAGAGCTGCCCTTGACAGACTTTGTTGCATGACACACCAGTTTACTTCTTCCTCTTCTGGTGCAGAGCTTTCCCAACACTCTGGGAAGCAGCAATGGCATTGCCTTCTGAACACACAGAGACTTACGGGCTTTAGTAGGAAATTGTGAAAGAAGGAAGACCTAGGGGTATTTAGAAATACATAAGCACATATGCCAACTAGGGGAAGGGTCCGAAGCATTCAGGGATATACTCGATGTCATTTGACAGCAGAGCTAATTCACAGCCACACTGGGTGAATAGACCACAAGGAGATGCAAGTTTGCCGTGACAAATGTGTATAAAGGGGTATTTGGGGTCATTTCGAGGGATTATATATTTTTATTTATATATACATTTTTGAAAAATAGTTGCTTCATGAAGACAAGAGGAGAGAATATCTTTATCAGCTTCAAGAATTTGTAGTGACCGATAACAGCAGGAATTGGAGGTTTCGATATGAACTAGCAGAGTAAGTAAAAACCTTTTTGGGGATATGAGAAGGCAAATTAGATAGAATAATTCTTAATTTTCCTACCTTATAATTGATTTCTAAACCTGCAGTAATAGTGTTCTTTTGGATAAAGAGATTATGTTTTTATTAACGTATAAACTGAATTCCAAAGCTCTAAGTTACAAATACCACAGTCTCCGGGGAGGCATTCATTTTCAGATGAAGACAGGGCTAGCGTCACTTTGGAATTAGAGTGTTCTGCTGTTCTATAAAGCAATTTATTTGAACCAAATAAAGGATGAATCACCCACTCTTCAGTATTTTCCTATTAATCGGAGCAGTTTTTGCCGAGCTTTCTTGAACATTCTGAGTGTCATTGTCTCTGTAGGACACGCTGTACCCGACAGAGTACTTCCACTTCTAAAGAATACTCAGCGACAGTGGGAGATCGGAAAAGGTCTAACCCAGATGGGACGATCATGAAATAAAAGTGCCCCCCAGGGTGGCTCACCTCTACATCATTTTTTGTGTGAAGGAGTTATTTAATTCCATCTTGTGCTGGCAAAAGGAATGTTCTAGGCCATAGTGATTATGACAGTGAAAGGAATGTTCCAGGCCATAGTGATTATGACAGTGAAAACATCCTTCCCAAGGTGTATGATCTGCTTTCCGTGGCATTGAGAGGACTTGTTTATGGTGGTGGTTGTTTGGGTTTTAGTTTTCACCTTGTCGAGATTCATTTTGGTATCTTTAGTTTTCATTTTTCTTACCCGCAAGTAGAAATCTCTCAAATAATTGTCTTCTCTGAAGAAATTCATCAGGCTTTTTTTTTTGCAGCTATTCAGGATATGATTTGGCTGATGCCAGCGGCGAACTGGAAGATTTTCTCTTTGCTGTGATCTTTAATCATTATGCTTAATTTGAGAGATTGAGGCTTTAGTCATTATGCCGTGTTCCCAGCGCGCTCTTGTAAAAGAACCGAGAAAAACAGGCCCACGTTTTCCGCGAAAGCATTGCGACCTCTAGCGGCGGCGCGCGGGACGCCGCTGCGGTTCGTTCCCCGCCGGGCTGACCCGCTTCCCGGGGAGCGGACCGGCGCCGTCGCCCGGCCGCCTTATCTCTCCACCGAGCGCGTGCTATCTCCCATCTGTGCCGGGCTTATTGAAGCCAGAGCGGCTGATATGAATTCTGTGCTCCCGTGCCCGCGATATTGGTATCATTTTTCTGAAAACAGGGCTTTTGGATATGAAAGTATTCACCGGCAGTGCTGGCTTCTGGTTCTAACTTGCTCCTCATCTCGTTTTCATTTCCTTTAGTTGCCCAGGTGAAAATAATGCCATTTATTTTCAAACCCTTCTCCCCCACCCCCGTTTAGAACACATCGACAGCTTTGGTGGGGGGCTTTCTCAGCCAGCCAGCTCGTGACTTTGCTCTGTCCTTGGGAGCGGAGCGCGGACCCGCCGCGTGGACAAGCCCGGCCGCCCGCCCGCCCGGCGCCCCGCACAGGCCGCAGGCTGAACCTGCAGCTCCAGGAGCCCAGGCGGCCGCCAAGTCTCACTCGAGTGTGCCCTGATCTATTGATCTTTGCGAACTTCAGCATTTTAGCTATTTTTACATTATCTGATTTCTTAAGTTTTATGTGCTTTTCAACTGATAACCCAAAATTGAGATATTAAATCTGTAATCATAAATTTCTCAGCCTTTGTTTTAAAAAGTTTATTTCCTTTTTGTTTGAGATGTGTGTGTGTGTGTGTGTGTGTGTGTGTGTGTGTATTTTACCTTGGAAAATGCCAGGAGTAGAAATTCTTAAGGAAAAGACAAGGAAAAAGATTTGACCAAAACCTTAATTTTATAATATTCTATGTGTGTGCTATTTCCCTATGTAATGCATAGGAATGCTAGATTGAAGGACTTAGAGATAGAGAGATATGAAGAATTAGGGTATTTTTTTTTCTCTACATTTCTTTATGGTCGTCTCACTCAGTGTCTGCTGTTGGCATTTTACCGGCAGAAGCCTTGCAAGGTCTTCAAAGCTACTCATTTCCCAGCTGGCTATTTTTATCTATAAGATGAAACGAGAGTAAAGAGAAGTTAATAAGGTGTTTTTTGACCCCCTAAATAATGTTTTCTTGTTTGTTTATTTTTTAATTTCAGACAGCTGATACTGATTTTGGAACTCTATAATCCCAATGATGTTTATGATTATTTAATGCATATTGCCTTAAAGTTGTGTGCAGATAAGGTTTCTGAAGTTCGGTGGATCTCCTTCAAACTAGTAAGGAATCATAGCCTTTTCTGTGTGTGATTTTTGCAAATAGTAATGTTTATGTATCTTCTTCCATTTTAACCCCTTTATTTTTTCTGGGCCTAATTTGTCAGCTTACTTATGAAACCAGCTTTTAAATTTTGAAATTAGGAATTGTGTTATAGTTTTATCAATTTACAGGATAGCTTTTTTGTTAAGTTGTATACTTCAGTGATGGAAATTGTGAATAAATCATTTTATAAAAAAATAAAAATAAATCATATTATATGAAACCTTTTAAACAATAACTTAGTGCTTTTTTAAAATACAGGTTTGGCTTCCTTTACAGCGCGGGTTTGTATAAAAGTATTTGATGAGCAAAGACTTCAGTTTAGAAAAGCTGATCCTGTTTTATGTGGGCTTATACCAGCTGAATACTGACCAAAAAAAAAAAAAAAATCTAATTTGAAAATACTGATTTTAAGATACTCTGATGGTATTAAAATTTTATTAAAATGATATGTTCTGAAAGGTAATCATGCAAGGGGACATGTTCTAAAATTCGGAACCTTAAGATTAATAACATATTTTTCTGATGCCAGTCCCTTTTTAATTTCATTTTTATGAAGAGTTTTATGTGTATGAGCATGTGTGTGTGTGTGTGTGTATGTGTATGAGTACTGCTGTGTATTGAAACATCTTTTTCCTCTGTGTTATAATGATCACTGTGACAAAAACTAGTTTCTCCCATGCTTGTAAGTTCATTTTAAAGGTAGAAGCATGCATAAAAATGTCTAGTTTCCATGTGGAGTAGTATTCATAATTCAAATAGATGGCAGCATTTTAAATGTGCTCTTCTGATATTTTTCACAGGTTGTGGCAATTCTGCAGAAGTTCTATTCAAACAGTGAAAGTGCATTGGGGTTAAATTTCATCAGTGAACTCATCGTAAGGTTTCGGCACTGTTCTAAGTGGGTTGGAAGGCAAGCTTTCGCTTTCATTTGTCAGGTTTGTAAGGCCTGGGGCAGGACCTACCCTGGGTGTCCATATCCCATGTGATGATATCAGGGTCACCAGACAAAGAATCCTAGCCCCTGAGCAACAGCAGAAACTTGGGGATCAATTATTCTAACCCCCTTATAGAAGATTGTGACCAACCCAGTGAGGTGAAGCAACTTGCCCAGGATTTCCCCACCTGTGTACTCATTCACCCCATAGATAATGGCAGAGTACCTACTGTGTGCCACGCATACTCTAGATGCTGAACATGGAGTGGACAAGCCCCCACCCTTCCTGCACCTTCCGTCTGGCATGGTGAGGGCCAGCCACACATCCACTCCCATCAGACCCAGTCTAGGACTGTCCATCACTGCACCTGACCTTAGCCATGGCCTTGAACACAGTGGGAGTTTGGCTCTTTAAGTAAGCACGTGAAGTTCGAGCCAGCCTGCTGGCTCCTCAGATCACCCTCTCTAACTTAGCATCTTGGAAAGGAGGGTGTGATTTATGTTTGGCTGGGGACAATGGCAGTGAAAATGGCTACCATTTCTTAAATGCCTCTGGTGTGCTAGGTATCTTGTCACATCTAATTCTCTAATTGATGTTGCTGTGTATTGAGCATGGTATAGCTGTGTGCCTTTAGACCAGTTCTTATAGTTGAAGCATTTTAAGCCCAGAGAGGTTAAGTAACTTGCTCAAAATCACAAAGGAAGTGTAAAGCATGACATTTTTCTGCTGAAGTGTTATTTTGAATGTTTTAACTTTTCGTCATGCACATTTTCAAGCATATACAAAAGTAAAGGGAAGGCTTTAGTGAGTCTCCATGAACCTGTCATCCAGCTTTGCTGATAGTACAGTAAGACCATGGTTGGACTTTACCTGACCCCAGACTCCAAATCCCCCTTCTCTACCTCATCATCTCCCCCACCAAAGGACTTACCAGCGCCCCCTCTTGGGCTGGAGGGGCATCACAAGGGCACCTTGGCCATCCATCTTGAGAAGTGCAGTGAGTGGTAGAGTAAATACCAAACTCAGATCGCAGGCTTGACAGCACAGCCTTTTGTGAAGAAAAAGTCAGTGTTCCAAATCTTTTTGTGGAGTAAGCATAAATGAAATATTTTTTGCTTTTATTTTTAAATTCTTTATCTGAGATTTAGAAAATCTGTGATAAACAAAAGGAAAAGATACCAACTAGTTTACTCAAAAAATAATGAAATCTTTTCTTTTTTTTTCCTTTTTGTCTTTTTTCGTGTCCGGCAACGGATTGCAACCCTCAGTGTCGCGCCCGTACCGGACCGGGACCGGCAACGGGATCGCAACCCTCGGCGCCGTGCCCGCCCCTCGCTCAGCCAGTGAGAGGGAACCGGTCTGTATGTGGGATCCGAACCCTCGGCGAGAGCGCCGCCGTGCTCGCAAGCGGCGCACTGTAGCAGTGCGCCACCGGGCCGGCCCAATGAAATCTTTTCTTATTCTCACTAATTAATCATTAAAGATTTAGAAAACCCACAGTAACACAAACCAAAGGAAGGGGTGCTCACCCAAGGGTACCTCCTGAAGGTCATATTATTATTTAAACACAGCTCTAGGGAGATATAACTTGGAGGGTAAGAGGGCTGATTTGAATCAAAATCACCTGGTTTGAAGCCCAATTCCACTACTTCCTCTTGAGTGGCCTTGGGCAGAGGAGCCTCTCTGGCACTTTGTTTTCATCTTCTCTTAAATGGGGACGGTATTATGTACCTGCCTCCTAGTGCTGTCATGAGGCTTCAGTGCGCTGGTCCATCTGTGTTACCTAGAATGTGCCTGACACCTAGTGAATATCAGCAGCTGCTGCTGCAGTGCCCACCCACCATGGCACACGTTACCCTGTAGTAGGAAGATGCACAGAGTTAGAATCCACATGCCTCGCTTGCAGTCCCCATGCTGCTGTCACTTGTTGATCTTGAGACCTTTGGGTGTCACCATCACATCGGACTGGAATTTTCTCACCTGTAAAACATGGCTAATTTTGATTTCCACGGTTATTTGTCAGAATTAAATGAGAGAATACATGTAAAAGTCTTTGCAGGTGGAGAAGCAGTGTGCTGAGGCTGATGATTATTCCAGGAGTTGTTTCCAAAAGTCTGGGCATTGGTTTAGGGTCCAGGATTTGACTGTTAAACGTGACAGCCTCAGCCCCTGCCCTCAGAGCCTGAATTCTAGCGAGTTAACAGAAGTGAGGGTTCTTCAGTCATACTAGCCGGCTGTATGCGGTGTGGTGGCACTGTGTCAGATGCTTTACTTATAGGCCTTGCTGTGGTACAGATGAGAAAACTGAGGCCTGGAAAGGTTAAGCCACTAACCTGAGGCCATGTCACTAGTGAGTGACCAAGTTAGGTTTTAAACCTAGACCTGTCTGGCTCCAAAGCCTATGCTTTCCCCACTAAATCTGATATTGCTTGTAACCTAGTGCTTGGTGGTGAATTATAGTAAAATAGTAACTGTTTCTAACCAGATCCAGTGCTTGAGATTTAAAAATTCACAAACACAAGAACCTCATATCTACAGATTTTAAAATGACTTCTTTGGGATTACCAAAGTGTATGTTTTAGAAAACTTTTGGAAAATGTTGCTTCTTTGGCCGTGGCTTTCTTCTTGTAGGCAGTGGTGAGCGAGGAGTGTGTCCCCGTGGACCAGTTCGTTGAGCACTTGCTTCCTAGTCTCTTGAGCCTTGCGTCGGATCCTGTGCCAAACGTGAGGGTTCTGCTAGCCAAGGCTCTGAAGCAGACACTGTTGGAAAAGGGTATGTGGAACTCAGGTCTGAACTTCCCCATTTTAAGTAAACTGCATCAGCTGTTAAAGGCAGCAACTAGATTTCCTCTGGGAAATTGTGCATGTTGGGTGATTTATTAATACTTAAGATTTATTATGTAAGTGAATATATTAACTTTTATGCATAATTTTTATGTTATTTATAAAACAAGGAAATGAATGTAATTCAGTCTTTACATTTAATAAACATCTGCTGAAGTGCAAAATATTACATAGCTTTCTAGATATGAGGGAAACTTTTGCAAATTTTGAGTTATGGAAGATTATGAGAGGTAGCAGATGCCTTAACTGGTACTAAGTTTTACTGGTATTATTTTCTACTCAGTAAGAAAACATTTATAACACAACCTAGTTGATTATTTTAAACCTGAAGCTTTGTGTTCCTTCGATAGTTTATTTCTACACCACATATATAAGAAAACATCCTCAACTCTGCCTTGTGTATACATTTCTTGCCATTTTGCCCCTTGCCCCATCCTGCCAGCAACTTGCTCTTCCTCCTGTATTTCCCACCTGGCCAGTTCTTTTGTGTTGTATGAAAAAAAGGATACTATTAAAACTTTTTTAGTTATGATAATTTTTAAAATATGTATAACTATTGGGAGTCCATCTTTAAAATTTAAGAAATACTCTTTGATTAAGGGATTTCATCATTTGAAAGGACTTATGTATGTGATTAGTCTATGAAAAATGATTTATTGTCCTGACATGTGGTTAAAGAAAAACAGGAGTATGTTTTAGAACACAGTTCATGGCACGTGTGATTGAAACTCGTTTCTCTTCTTTAGCATATTTTAGAAATGCTGGTAACCCTCATCTTGAAGTCGTTGAAGAGACCGTCTTAGCTTTGCAGTCAGACCGGGACCAAGATGTTTCATTTTTTGCCACCCTAGAACCAAAGCGGCAGAATGTTATGGACACTACTGTACAAGAAAAATAGAATTAACTACTCTGTGATGAATTGTAATCTGTTCATTTCATGCTTGGCATATATTGCTTATCATAACTTGAAGGGGAGCTGATTGTATTATATCTGCTGAGGGGGAAAAGATTTCTGAAACTTTTTACTGTGCACTCAAATGACTGACTTCTTTCCCGGCAGCCCCGAGGGACTAAACCCTGGATGGGGGCTTACTTCAGATGGCTGGGCCTGTGCTATGTTCCCCACCCCTACCAGCCCAATCAGTAACAGTCTGTGGAAAGATTGCAGACCCAGACAGCTGACCGGGTATCAGGGCCTCTGTCCCATGAGATTGCCTGCCAGGGATTTGTTTTCTCTGTGATGGACTATATTATTTAAAGTCCCTCCTTCCCCAAATAAAGGTTATGAGAAGTTTTTAAGTCTTTAATAGACTTGCATATTTGCTTCCCTTATGCTTTTCTATAAAATATAGTTTATGGCATAAAATTTTATTTTTAACTGAAATACTGTACATATGTAAATAACTCTTGACAGGAAGAAAATATGTTAATGTAATATTAGCCTCCTATCAGTGAGCTGAACAAATACATCATTTAAATTTATGCTCCACTTTGAGTTGCTGCAAATATAGCTCAATTTGTTTACTTTTGAAAAAATGTGATAGTTAAAGAAATCTACTAAAGAATGACTTATGGCAGTCTTTGGAATATTGTACTTTTTTTTTTTTGTCCTTTTCCGTGTCCAGCAACGGATCGCAACCCTCAGTGTCGCCCCCGTGAAAAAATGTGATAGTTAAAGAAATCTACTAAAGAATGACTTATGGCAGTCTTTGGAATATTGTACTTTTTTTTTTTGTCCTTTTCCGTGTCCAGCAACGGATCGCAACCCTCAGTGTCGCCCCCGTACCGGACCGGGACCGGCAACGGGATCGCAACCCTCGGTGTTGCTCCCGCGCCTCGCTCAGCCAGTGAGCGGGAACCGGTCTGTATGTGGGATCCGAACCCTCGGCGGGAGCGCCACCACGCTTCCCAAGCAGCGCACTATCCAGTGCGCCACCGGGCCGGCCCGGAATATTGTACTTTTGATGTAAACTGTGCTTAGAACTTTTTCTCAAGCACTCACTCCTCCCCTTCTTGCAGGAACTGTATCCATAAAGATATGTGTGGGCCTTTCATAGAGGCATAGAGTGGAAAGATTTTTCATTTTTATATGGACATATTGTCATATGTTTAAGAACTTGGAGGGAAATTGATAATTGAAATGCATGGATATTGCCTTTATATCTAATGCATTAGAATTTTGTCAAAAAATAGGAAACCACAGTTCTGATTAGAACTTGCCCACAAATACTGAAGATTTTGGGGGTTAAATTATGTACTCTTCAAATTGACTTAAGTACACAGAATTTAGATTTCATGCTTTTGAAATTTAGACTAAGCAAAAGATGGTCTAGAATTCAAACAGGTTTTTCATTAATAATTCAAGATTCTGTAAACATTTGATTAAAATCCTGCATACGTGTATGCTTATGTTATTTTTCTTGTTTCTATTTATATATTCTCAAAGGTAGGCATGAGAGAGGGAAGGAGCAGCAGCCCATTTGGGGTTCAAGAGCTAGCTGCAAAGGGCATGTAAGCTATTTCTGTTCTTCACTTTGGTCTTTTCTTGTCTGTCTTTTCTGTTCTTATTTTTAATAAAATTTCTGAGGCTGTATATTGAATTTCCTGTTTTACAGGATGTTTCCCCTGCCCCAACCCCCAAATTCTGTTGAACTGATTCTTTAAAAAGAAAGGAAGGAATTTATATATACAGTGCCAAAGAAAATAAGGTACATGTGTGAGAATTTCAAATTGTAACCCACAGTAGCATTTAGGCAACTTCAGCAAAGAGTTAATAAATTGGATGCTACATATTTTTTTAAAAAGTCAACCCATCTTGTGTTTAATACCTGCCTAAATAGATGGAGATATTGTTTTGCTTTGGTAACAAGCAATTTTCAATTTTTTTTTATTGCGTAGAAATTGAGATTGTCATGTTATTATAATCCGTTGATCTAGAAGCAAGTAGAATTATTTGACTGGAATCTTGTATTCTATGCAGAGCTTCATTTTCCATTAAGGGAAAAAAACTGAGCTTCAGTTTGTGTGGTGATGTGTAGAATTTGCGTGCTGAATACACAACATACTTAGAGAGATTGTAAAGACTCTTTGGAAAATAATCTAACCTTTACAATTTTCAGTTCATATGTTAAAAATTTTCCATACTTTAATATGAATGCCTTTCCAATGCAAAGATTTTTTCCTTTTTTATGGCTGTAATTTCTCTGCAAAAACTATTTTTAAAGCTTACATTTTATTCTTTTTTGTAACTGAGGTTTTTCTAAGAGTGTTCTGGTTCCCCTTGCCCTTCCTCTAGCTTCTTGTATGTATTTGTTATTGGTACCGGTATTGAATGTTTGTAACTTGCCCATCACGTGCAGCTTCCTGTTTACTTGAACACTGGCCTCCTCTCTGGTGAATTAGTGGAAAAGCACAGACTGGTTTCTCACAGATAAGAGCTCATTGGAAAGGTGTCTTAACAACAGGACTATCTCGGTCTTTCTCGAGTGGACATTTCCCCCCTTGTTAAGTATTTTTATTGGCACCTTTCTCCCTCCAAGGATTCAAGAGCATTTTCAAAGTTGATGTATTTTGATGCGGCTTTTCAAATTTCGATGAAGGCCCGTCTTCCCCCTTCAGAGAGACCGAGTCCACGGTCAAGTCGGGCCCAGATCTGCTTAAGGGGGTCCTATTTCTGCAATGTTGGCTTTTTAAATTCATGCTAGGAATATTTTTAAGCGTGATTATAGATTGCACTTTACAACTCTGTAGTGCAGGCAATGATGATTTAGAGAGTTAAAAACGCCCGATTCCTCCAGGTGGTTTGCCCCAAATTATGCAAAGATTGTGTTTTAAACAAACGGAGAGGAAACAGTTTTTTTAACAGCGGCAAGAAACCTCCCTCCGTTTTCCCGGTGAAAAGAACTGACATGAACAGCAGCTTGGAAGCTGCAAGGAGGAATTGGGGACGTGGCCGGGAGCTCGTCCGAACGTGGCCTCTCGGCGATATCCCTGTATTTATCTCAATAAATCTCCGGGTTCTTTTAGGAAGCGCCTGTGCCCGTTTTCATTGTTTAGGAGCAGTCTCCCGCGCCCACCTTAAGCCACAGCTTTGTTCCTTGCGGGGCCGGCCTGGGGCCCCGGGCGGGAGGGAGCTGCGGGGTCGGTGGGGGCTCGGGCCCCGCGGGGTCCGAGCGTCACAGCCTGGCGGGGGCGGCCACGCACGGTTCGAGCGTCACAGCCCGGCCGGGGGGGGGGCGGGGGCGGCGATGACGCGCGGCCA